TAATGGTCTGGCCCTCTAGCAGCTTCAGTGTGAAATTATAGCTAATTTGCCTACAAACGTTAGGTGGTCATAATAATCTGGCCACTCAGAGTATATAGACAAGTAAGGGACAATGCATAAGAAGAGAGGTCTGGCTTTGAAGCCTGTTCAAGCACTGCTGGTGGCGTCTGGAAGCCTCTGTGGTTAGTAATTTTTCTTTGTCATCCCCAGATAGCTGGCGTTTAACTAATTGGGAAATCACCTACTGAGTTCTGTAATGCATTGATTACATTAGGCATACTCTGTTAGAAATGGGCACAATATATTCAAGTAGTGACTTACTCATTTCTAGGACAGTAATCTTGCTTTTACAGGCTAATTCAGATGTTATAATTGTACCAAGGTGTGTTTTTGGTTTTTATTTTAAGGGGTGGCATCATTTGCTATTCTTTCTGTAGAACTTATTTGAAAGACCTTAACTACAATTTCAAAATGGAAAGGTGAAATTTTAGCTAATGTTGGGAAAGGTGATAATATTCTTTGAGTATAGAAAATAGGAATTATATTTTAAAGGGAGACTTTAACGGTATTCTGCTTAACAAGTGTCTTTCAGTTCATATTATGGATCCTAAATTATATATTGTTAAGTGAGCCATAAATTGTCGATATTATCAAGTAGTAAGAGATGACCAGAAAGAAAATTTAGTACTTTGCACTAGTTTTCTATGTAACAGTGCTAATATTTGCCAGCATAATTTTTTATAAGACACTAAATGAAAGTAAAGTTTTAATCATATGACTTCTAGAAGGTAGTAAAAAGTTTATATAAAAGTTATACATAAAATCTATGCTAATAAAAGGGTAATATGCTAATTAGACCAGGAGACCTTCTAAGAGACCGTCTGGACATCCTTCCATACAAAGCCATGGTGGTGGGGCCGAGGCAGAGGTGGTTAGGGGTGATCAGGCCAGCGGGGGGTGAGGGGGTAGTTGGGGGCAATCAGGCTGGCAGGCAGAGGAGTTAGGGGTGATCAGACAGGCAGGCAGGTGAGTGGTAAGGAGCCAGCGATCCCAGATTGAGAGAGGGATCCCAGATTGGAGAGGGTGCAGGCCGGGCAGAGGGACACCCCCCTTCCCCATGCACGAATTTCATGCACTGGGCCACTAGTGTATTTATAATATTTTAATTTTCCTTAATTCCTTATATTTTATGTAACGCAGTTATTCTTGAGCTATAATAATCTTCTTATAAATAGTTGCAACTCACAAGTAATTAAAATGTTAAGTGATTACATATAATGACTAAGATTTAAAAGGCTGGCAACATTAAATGTTGGCAAGGATACAAAGCAACCAGAACTCAGATATTCTTGGTGGAAACATCAAATGGTACAACCACGTTGGGAAAGGTCTGGCAGTTAAAAAAAAAAAATTAAGCATATACCTAACCTGTGGCCCAACCTTCCTACTGTTAGATATTCACTTAAGATAAATGATAACATATGTTTATTGAAAGAATGTTTATATAAGCTTTTATTCATAATTTTCAAAGGCTGAAAACAGCCCAGTTGTCCATCAGTAAGAAGCAGGATACATTGGGATATTGCTGAGCAATGGAAAGAAACAGACTACTTGTATATATCACAGCATGGATGAATCTCAAAACATGCTAAGTGAAAGACGCCTTAACCAAAAGAGCTCATACTTGTTGTTTTCATGAATATGATATTCTAGAATTGACAAAAGTAATCTATGATGGAAAAAAATCAGAATATTGATGAGAGGGGAGGTAAGGGAACTTTCTGGAGTGATGGTTATGTTCTATATCTTAATAGAGATACATAGGTATATGCATTTGTCAAAAACTCAGTGAATACACACTTAAGAAAAATGTAAACAAATATTGAACTTTAGCTAATGATATACATGCTATAATATTTAAAGAGAACTGTACTGACTTGTGCAAAAATGTACTTTGTAGTGCTTAAAAAACAAAATGGCTAGAAAAATGGGTAGATCTGTGATAGAGCAAGTATATAAAATGTTAATAGTAGGCTTGTGAAATACAAGCATTTGCTGTAAAATGCAAGCTTTGAAAAAATAAAATAAATTATTGGAAAAATATTAATTTATAACGGAATTGTTTATGCATGATGTATTCTTACAAACTCTATTTTCTTTCTCTTTGCTGCAGTGACCTTTTTCCTAACTTCATATGTGAACTTCCGGCTGTCTGAGAATTTATCTTTACTGTTAATTATACTAAACTAGTAGCCCTGCGCATGGTAGCTTGCTGCCGCTTGCCTCAGCTGGCCACCCCGCCCACGGCCACTGGTAGCTCTCTGCCCGTCATAGCCCGCTGCACCGCCCTCCTGTAGCTCTCCGCCGCTTGTAGAT